CCATTCATAGCCGACCACGCTCATGGAAGCAACATTGATCCGCGCGAGCTCGCTTACCAGATTCTCGACATTGTGCACTTGCGACCGGAAATCGAGCTGTGTTATATGGGCCTGTCCACGAAGTGCTTTGAGATCCTGGAGAACCGGCCATCGAACTATGACTTGCGACATGACGGTATGCACACTGATGGTAGTGGCTCTGCATACGCCACACACGATCCTATGCTATCTGATGATGAGAGCGAAGCCACCGAGGATGATGATGACGACAGCATGGATGAAGGCGCAGTACCACCTGGGGGTGACGAGACCGAGAGCGATGTCAGCGACGAAGCGGAAGGGGATAGTGACGATGAGTCCTTTATACAGGACTCGCAGAAAGGCCCAAAGCTCAGGGTCAGAGAGATTCTCTTCTATGAGGAGCGAGTAGAGGCTTTCAGACGGCGACATGGTGTGTTGAGACCATGATGAAGACAGGACTACGACACAGGTATTGGCAATTGTTGTAAGTATTTCACGGGATATTTTAATGATGATGCGATGGAGCAACGGCGTCGGATGGCGTATATGGTAGATATCCTTGGTCGGGTTGCATGATACTAGGCATGGTCTCAGGACCCCGGATTTAAAGGAACTGAGAGCGTGCAATGGCGGTGTGCGCTTTCCACGTCTATATAGTAATAGAATTTACGATGGCAGGTCTATGCAAGATATGATATCTTCGGACGCTAACTCGGTGATATTGTATTGGCGAACTCGAAGACGTATCAATATCTTGTCCTTTTTACTGCAATAGACATACCACGTGAATACGCGTTGCACTTGGTCCGTGCTTCATATGGGATCGCGACCGACCCTTGCGTAGGCGGGCGGACCGAAACCAGCCCACCCTGCGACAACAGTTTGCCAAACGATATGGTGAAAAAACAGCCAATTCCAAGAAAAGACCTGATAACTTTCACGTGTCCCGCATGCTCATGAAGCCACCTACGCTACATCAAACACACCGGTAAACAATCGCATAGCGGGGCCTCCGCAGCACCTCCGCAATGGACCACTCAACCCTAGTCTTCGCATCCGTCTTCCCCGTCCTCTCCTTCTCGCACAGCACGCCCACACCGATTGCAACACCGGATCTGGGTTCCACTGCACCGGGCACTTCATTCGGGAATCCCTATGCTCTGCGCAATACCGATACCCGTGGCCAAGGACAAGGCCAGCACCGAGCGGTCAGGCGCAACAGTGCATGGAGCTGTGCAACGAGATTCCTGAGTTTGCCAAAGGATGTGTCTATTGCCCCACGAATTCAAAGGACGAGGGAGGTGGAGGACGCCCTAAACTATTTGCTGGTTGGAGAAGGCAAGGATGAGGATGCCAATGAAGAAAGCCTGGTGGAATGGTATACAAATGAATGCCGCCTGCACTTTGCAAACCATGTGAGACCGGGATTGAAGCAACTCTGGCAGGAAGAGGTTGATCTGCGCCGTGCTTGGGATTTACTCGACGAGACACAGCATATCCTTGAACAGGCCCAGAACGTGTACCTTCAACCCTTCACCGAGCACTTGTTGCAAGTTATACAGCAGAACGCAAGTAGTTCGACGCTTCACCCGAACACGCATACGCAGACGAACGAGTCTGATTCTGTGAGCGCAGCGGATTGGAAGTTTCGAAGCGATATACAGGCTGTTTTTGCGTACTGCCTGCCTCGGCAACGATACTCGAAGACGCTGAGTTATGTCTTGTACGATGCGGGATGTAGGCTGTTCCGCATCTACAACCGACATGATGGTGTGGAGACTAGGAACATGTCTCATGACACACAACAGACCAGGAAGCGAATGACAACTTTACTACAAGGGCTGGAGCGCATCGGACTCGGTGGTGACAGTACCCAAAAGGCCTTCGCCCATGCCATGACAAAGCTGATTGATTCCTTCATAGGAAGCCACTATCTTAAGGTTGACTGGTATTCCAGAAAGACGATTGTGCCGCAGTTGAAAATGTGGATCCAGGACGGCTTTTGTCCGCTCGTCGAACTAGTATTGGAATGCCTGAGATGCGAACAGAGTAATATCCTGCCGACTGAAGTGTCTTCGTGGCAAGAGATGGCGCTGGGCAGGTTGGGTAGAGCGCGAGTCGACAACTTGTTTGATTTTGTCATCAATTGGGACAAGAGTATGGGCGCCATCCTAGATATCAAAGAGTATCTCAAGGTGGCAAATGCAAAACAGCATCTTACGTCAAGCTTTTCACAACAAGTCTCAAGACGTCTACTTCATCCTGGAGCCACGACAACATACATCCTAAATGTGTACATTTCCATTATTCGTTCTTTCCATGAGCTGGAGCCTAAGGGAGTGCTGCTCGAACGAGTAGCAAGACCAATTCGGCGGTATCTGAAGGAGCGAGATAACACAGCCCGTATCATCATACTGAGTCTGCTTACTGATCTCAAAGACGATACCGGCAGCAAATTCTCTTCCAACAGCGAGTTATCATACGAAATTGCAAGTGAGATGGCTAAGCCAATTGCAAGTTTTGGACAAGACGCCGACGAAGAACTCAACTGGAACGACATGAATTGGCAGCCGCTACCGCAAGATGCTTCACCCGACTACAAGAAGTCAAAGGTCGAAGATGTCATTTGGTTCCTCTTGACTTTGTGGGAGAGGGACGACTTTATCAATGAGCTAAAGAACATCTACGGAGAGCATTTGCTCAAGTGTCAAGATCCCGAGTACGAGAAGGAGATCCGACTGTTGGAGCTTATAAAGGTGCGGCTAGGAGATGACAAGCTACAGGCGTGTGAAGTCATGCTTCGCGATATGCTAGAATCCAGGCGTATCAACAGCACGATACGCACAACCTCTAGCGTACCGGCTTCAAACTCGCTGGTCACACCAGATCAACGTAGTAGACAGCCTCGAACACCGGATGGTCGTCAACCACGAACGCCACGGCCTCGCCGTCCAGCAAGATCAGCCAAGAAAGCCACACCTTCTGCCCCAACTTCTGCACCATCACCAGGCCCGACACTCAACGCACAGATTTTATCGTCGTTCTTCTGGCCACAGCTCCGTGACGACACGTTCCAAGTACCTGAACAAATCAGTGCATTGCAAAAAGAGTACGAATCACGCTTCGAACGCATCAAAGGCATGCGTAAGCTGCGCTGGATGAACGCCCTGGGGACTAGCTCCATAACCCTCACCTTTGAAGACCGTACCGAAGACTTTGACAACCTCACTCCCTGGCAAGTTAGCGTCATCCACGCCTTCCAGCCGCAACCTGGCGAAGAAGAAGAAGACAATACCGCCAGGAAAACTGGCGAAGGCACAACCCGCACAATCTCCCAACTTGAATCCCTCCTCCAAATGGACGAATCCCTCCTCCACCAAGCCCTCAGCTTCTGGGTCGGAAAATCCATCCTCCGCTTCCACCCACCATCAACCTACTCCGTCATCGAGTCCCTCCCAAAACCCACCTCGCAAACCGGTGCCCACGACGCCGACGCCGCTGCTGCCGCCGCAGAAGAACTCGCGACCTTGCAAGCGGATCCCGGTGCCGCTACCACGACCATCAAATCACAATCCGAAATGCTGAATGAAAAGAAACATGTGTATACGGCGTTTATCATGGGTATGCTGACGAACCAGGGGAATATGGATGTCGGGCGCATTGCTATGATGATGCGGATGATGGTTCAGGGAGGGTTTCCACATGGGGCTGAGGAGGTGGGGATTTTGCTTGAGGAGTTAGAGGGCGAAGGGAAGGTGATCAGGGTTGGTGGCGGGGTTTGGGGGGTTAGGAAGGGGTAAGCTGCTTGGATTGGGGGTTGGGGGGAAGGCAGGGGGGCGGTTTGATAGATGAGGAATGGAATGATTGATTTGATCGTTGTCTTCTTTCTTGTTTTCCGAGGGAGAGACAGGCATCTTTTGCATGACAAGATACTTTGCTCTATTTTGCTTAGAACAAGGCTTTTTGTAACTACTGTTCTCTTTTTTTTTACATGGTCAATTAGCCTCAAGTAAATGGTGGGAAATGTGGGTTGATTCCATCAGCCTCCACCTAGTCCATCTCACTACATAATTTTCGAGCAAATTTCCAATTTTACCTCATTCTTCGCATTTGAATGAATGGTTGTGTACGTCTCTGCCCTTTCCCTAGTATCGTTATTCTGCACGGTATGTGTTTTACTAGTTCAAAGAGTGATAGGCGTAGAGATGCGAGTGTAGAAACTAAACTCTACAGTTCAATCAGTTTGGGTTGCAGTAGGTGGTGCGTATTGTTGTAGATGTGAATAGAGAGTGTGAGTGCCCAGGGTGTATCGTGTGATTGGGTTGTAGTGTGAAGAAGGAAAAGAGCGCAAAAGGGTAAATGATAGCGAATGGAAGATGACAAGGAAGGTTGTTGCTTGATGTGATGTGGCATTGTGGATTCACCAGCTCTGTTAATGCATTTCGGCATGTGTCGTAGGGTGCATATTATCATGTAAGGGGTTTTCTTCTTCTCTTGGTTTTTGGAAGCGGGCTTATCACATAGTTCTTGGGGAAAGAAGCACGTAGTACATTGCAAATATGGTTTAACCCCCAATGTTTGGTACCTCGACTTATTGCATCCTTTAGCTGCATATCACGATCGGTCTTGGAGGGGCTTCGTGCACGAAGAAATTGCGATTTAATTAACTCTAAGAAGCTCTGCGCTCATTAGCCATGCTAAGATATCAAGATTCTTTGTGTACTTACGGATAGCGCCTAGCTACTTGAAGAATACCGGATTCTTCACCAGCCCAGTCAAACCAGCCAAAGAACGAGCCGAAAATTAGCTGAGGAACGAGCCAGAAAAAAACCAGATCAGCCAGAGAAAGAGCTAATGGAGGGGTATAGCTTAAGCAATAAATGGATAGAGTAAATAGAGCTTAAGCTACACCCCCTTTCAGCACCACTAGCTAGGCTATCAAAATTTACCTATTTCATATATGACATTACGATCCTGCACTACTTGACGACCCACCCATCGTCTTTCCGTTTGCAGCATATCCATTCACGACTTCTTTTCAACTGGATACGATGAAGATTCCGTCCTAGGTCTTCAGTCCGATAAACCTTTTGGTCGCCATTCAAGAGCATGTCGATCAAGTCGCCTCGCTGATTAGCGAAGAGGAGCATCAATCTCTTTGCGCCGTCTCGTCGGCTCGCAACAATTTCGATGTTTTCTTTCGTTATTAGGCCTTCGAGGTCGCAATCTTTGAGAAGGACTAGTGCCACATCTTCTGGACTTCCCTTCAGAATATACTTCACTACCGATGCTGCTATTGGTAAATCTTTCCTTCGCCGACGCAGGAAACATTCAATCAGGCGGCGAGGATTGTAAGAAGTAAAGATCACAGCCCTGAGTGTATTTTCAGTGATTGTGATGTCTTCGCCTAGTTCATCGAGAAGCTGCTCGATCAATCCCACGACTTTATGACTCCTTTCGGTTTTTGTATCGAGCTTGTCCGGTTCTACCCAAGCCTCATTCCTGCCCTGGCTTTGAAGAACCTGGGCTAAGCGCAGCGTGTTTTTATCATTTTTGATAGCTTCTTCTACCATCTCTTGTGTGATCCTGGCGTTTTCCCTCATGCTACTCAAAAGGAGTTTGGTTATCTCAACAGATTGGTCGTTTCTTCTGAGGGCTGCCAGAATCATCCCTTGTGTGATGTCAACATCTTCCCACGAGTCAAGCAAAACCTCTACTGCTTCCAGGGGGATATTTGAGACAGTCGCTGCCAATACCATACTCTTACTCTGTCCATCTGCCTTCCACCGGTCGACAAGGATCATTGCTATATCTTTGCAATCTTCAGGAGCAGCGTTCTTCAACACCTTTGTGGCAAGCGTAATTCCAAACTCCTTTTGTGATACCAGATGAGAAAGTATTGCGAAGCTTCCATTTTCAACCGCGAGATCTCCGATACTCTCACCTCTCACAGTTGTGTAAGGTACTGTAAGCGCTTCGCTGACAAAAAGTTCTTTTCCCAATTCCTCGAAATCAAAAGCACAGGCAATGAATAACCCAAAAGATTGTGATGGCGAGCTGCTGCTGGGTTCACAACGCCGAATCAGAAGTTGTTGCACCATGTAAACAGATTGATCTGCTACGGTATGAGCGGTAATGTCCCGCATCCAGAGAGCCATCAATGAACTCTCCCCTTTGTCTCTTTCATCCAAGAAGAGATGTTTCAAAACGACGCTCAAAGTGCCCGATTTTCTACGATTTCCCGCTGCTCTGCAGTGAGTAGGCCAGTAACATTGTGCATAATCAAGTGCTTCAACTACAGAGGGTTCAATCTCGAGTGTCCATCCAACATGACGGAAGAGCTTCTGGGTTGTTGGCTTTGGATGTTTACATAGTACGATCCAGAGACATGCTTCCGTTATCATGTTGTTGCATGATGGCTTGCTGAACTGAGGACTTTCTTCTAAAAATTCTCTCACGGATAGATGTGCGAAGCGAAATGTGTCAAGCTGTGAGTCGTGAACAATGAAATTGTTGCAGTACTCAAGAATCGTTTCTAGAGAGATCGGGATCTTTTTGTCTTCATGAGGAATTGTCGTTACCGCGGCTAGGAACCGATCGGTTGGAAGCGTGGTTCGAGCTGATAACAACCAGCAGAGGGCATTTTTGAAAATGGTCTGTCGATAGTCGCCTGGTATTGTTGAAAGCTTGTTGTAGACTTGGTTGTACTGCTCACGCAGATCAGGCGGAAGTCGACCCATGGCATCTCTGATGTCGCCATCTTCAGTGAACAAACAAAGATATTGCAATTGCATGCTGGCCCAACGAAACCTAAGGAGGATGTCAAAATCAACAAATTTGAGTATGTGTAATCAGACCTACATTCCATGAGCATTTGCGGTGGTTTTGGATATAATCAGCTCCTTGAGCTCATCCCGCGAATTGCTACGGCATAATAGCTTTCTACGCTTAACCAGTTGTTCTGTCTCATTCTTGACAAACCGTGCAATATCGCTCTTGTTCATCCTAGAGTTGATCTCTAGATTCGGGTAGTTTTTCAATTGCAATACAATATCTTGGTCATTTCGGCTCGAAACGAAAATCTTGACCAGGCTAGATGCGTTTTTGAGAATCATCTCCAGATACTCAAGCAACTCCCATCGAGTCTCTGGATCGCATTCGTCCATGGCATCTATGATAATCATCGTCTGGGGGTAGATTTCGATGAGCTCCGTGATGAGGTCGCAAATATCTGTCATGTCGGGCTGTCCGGACGAAAAGCTTTGGCTCTCTTCCCTCTTGTACATATCGACTGTAGGTTTTAGAAGAGGCATCCCCAACTCTATATTTGATAGTTGGCGCGCAATACTAGCAAGTATTCCTCTGGGGTTCGATCGTAAAGGCTCTGCTGGATTTCTTGAACAATAGAAGAACACTGGCTGCGGGCTATTTCGAGCCTGAAAATCCTTCATCGCATCTTCGATTACAATCGACCTAATAATATCAGCAAATTCTTCACGAATAAACGGTGTATGAGAATCTCACACAAGTTTACTCTTGCCTGATCCAGCGATCCCATGGAGCCATAAAATGGAAGATGCGCTGTCATCCTTCCATTTCTTGAAGATGGCGTCATCCAGAAGCCACATCCCTGTTCCAGGTAAGAGATCTTTCTTGACTTGTTTGTGGTGTCCCATATAAGGCTCAGAGGAGAGCCATAAAAGAATCTTCGTGCGCTCCGATCCTATATATGTGAGTTGCTTTCCAATCGAATACCACGGTCACTTACTTTCAAGATTGTCTTGCACATGCTCAAGATTCCGATCGATTCTCCTCAGTGGCCCATTCATGGAGTTCAGTAGAGCTGCTAGCTTATCGTTTTTCTCGATGCTATCTGCCAAAATTGTTAGTGAATTTGATGATTAAAAGCAGCTAGTACTAACCATTTCTCTCGGCTAAAGATATCCAGTGCTTTACCTGCTCTTCTGCTCTATGAATCTCATCTAGAGTTGACTCGAACCGTTTGTCGAAAAGAAGAGCACTCTTTATCATCCGCTCTAGTAGTTTTCGTTAAAAGGTATGCTCTCTAGGTAGATGATGAAACTTGCTTGCAGTCCCCTGCTCAAAGTATGCTATTATGCTGGATAGGTGGAGAAGGATCTTCGAATATAGCTTGACTAAAGCTCTCAGTAGCGCTTCATAAGCTGCTGATGAATCGTAGATATAAAGAGCCTCTAGGATGGTATAGCGACAAATCAGCTCAGATATCCAAGTAAGATCCTCTATGACCAATGACATTTTGTTAGTATCATTCACGGCAACCTGAAGCCGCGTTAGTATCTTTCATGAAACCCAATGCATCACTCACTTGCAAGATGAAGCGAATACCCGCCCAAGGAAGCGCAGCATGTGTGGGGTCGTACTGAACAGCCACATCTCCAATCTCCTTGAACACATCAAGCCATCGAAGAAATTTCTCCAAAACATCCCTAATTATGACCGTTTCTCCGCTCTTGCGAGTGTACTTCCATCTCGATACCATGAACTGATTTCTTGATGTTTCGGCCTTCTCGCGTAAGTCTTTGAGAATGTCGATCTTCTCATGTTGGGCAAAGTTGATTCCGTGCTTGTGTTCGGCAGGTAACTGGGCTATAGCCTCAGTCCAGAGATTGGTGCTGAAGCGACGAAAAGTATTAGTGGACGCATGACTAGGCGATTTGCTCAATGGACATACAACGCGTTGGATTGTGGAACAACTAGTGTAGCCATGGTATGGATAGACTATGAGAAACAGGGTGTTTGAGGATGCAAGCATGCCCTTTAGGGTTCTCATGAGAGGAGAGAACCAAGGCGTTTTGCAATAGTGCTTGTGTAGGTGATATCTGTTGATTGTGGAAGCCTGAAAACTCTCGCTCGTGCGTTTGGATGTAGATACATCACTAGGTCAAACCTTGATTTCCGCAGAGATGCGTGATGGGGAGAGGAAGAGAAGTGTTGGAGCTTTCAGCCTTGGGATGGGATGTGCTTTGAGCTGGAATGGAAGGTGGCTGTGTTATTGCAAACGCAACCCCGCAGTCGCCAACAGCAGCAAGGCTGGCAGTCGCTGCTTAATCACATCAGACTCGCTACTCTTTTTAGTACAACTTGTGCATCTTCCACAGATAATCAACGGCAAGCAGTAATCGAACTCAAACTTTGGATTGTACAGTGGTGTATATGAGACTTCTCCAGAGAAGGACAATCATTGTTGTTAGTTCAGGACACCCACATCCTACAAGGCACCGTTCTTGATCTACTCAATGACTAGCGACTTCATCGTAACCTCCAACGCGCCCTCGAAATTTCCACTGATGGCATAGATACTCTGCATAGCAAATGCGGCGTCGGTGCTGAAGTCTTCACACCCCCAATTTTCATCTATACATTGGTCCTGTGCTTCCTTCTTCACCTGCTCGCTAAGCGCAATACATCTTTCATATGCAGGGAGCGCCAGCGCAACAAGACCCAAACTGTGCCACATGCGGCCAACGTTGAACTCTGCTTCCTGACGATGAATGGCATATGGGCTTTTGATGCGGAGATCGTAATATCTGTAGACAAAGGACAGACCTTGCTGGATTTGGTACTGCCTGTTTTCTGAGAGGCGTTTCATGGCGTGTTGGATATATGCTACGCCTATGCCCAGATTGATTACTGGATCTTCAGGCGTAAGAGCGAATGCACGGAAGTAGTAGTTTAGTGCCGCCATGTAGCTTCCGCCGCACATTAGAACGTGTGCGTATAACGCAAAGAGCGCGGGGTCGTGGCCCTGGACTTTATCCACATCTTCGATGTTGGCGTTATTTCTGAAACCGCCTTTGGTAGCTTTAGTGCTGAAGTTAAATTCAATGCGTTGTTCCGGGGTAAGCAGTGCATAATCAACCGTCTTTATGTAGCGCATGAGTACTTTGTATGCGGGACCAGTTGCAAAGCCTTCGGGAAAAGAGCATAGACGATTGACGGCGCTGTACAGACGGAAGAGGTCAGTACCAAACGGGTATTCTTTAAGAAGCCAACGTGCTGCAACAGAGGCTTGCGGTGAGTTGTCGGCTGCAAGGGCACAGGTGAGTCGACATATTTGGAGTTGCCGATGGTAGACCTGGGAGCGGTGAAAGATATTGGCCTGGAGGGCAATATCGAGTGTAGCAAAACATTGCTCTTCATCACCCTCACCAGCGAGCAGAATGGCATAACGGCCAAATGCATCACACCATTTATCGAAATGGACACCCCAGAAATCAGTCGGAGGTGTACTGGGCCGTTCTTGGAGTTCAGGGTTTGTCTCGCCGTCTTCGACGTTGTTCGCTACAACAGCAAGTACCATCAGTGCAGATTCTTTCCAAAGGTCTCCGGCTGTTACGCGTCGGAAGTAAGTCATGAGGTCTTCTTTTTTGTTCGAATAAAACAAGTCAAATGTCGAAAATTCTTCAATCAACTCTCGAGTGATAGATAAGACCTCTTTGATAGCTTCTTCGTCTCCATCTTCTGCTGGCCCCCAAATCTCATCCAGTCGTTTGAAACTGGAGACAATTTCTCGATGTTGAGCTCTTGCAGCCTTTAGATCATTGGCAAAGTCTGTAGCAAGCTTTTGAAGTTTACCGCGGAACAGTCTATTTGTAATTGCCCGATACGGCACATCAGTGCCCTCAATCGTAGCTGGCCTGGGATCGACGTCGGGCGCTAGTTCAGCGTCTTCTTCGCGTACATCAAGGAATACCTGGATCTTTGGAGCCTTGGTCCTCTTTGTTCGGAATAGACCTTTCTTGGGTCGTTCAGTAGGGGCGATGATTCCTGGGAGCTCCTTGTTTCCTGTTTCGTTCGCCGAATCATCCTCTTCGTCATTCTGCCCAGTCGCCTTTTGCATCTTCTTTCGGTTCCTTCGTACAGTGCTTTTTCGGACAGCATACCTGCCCCGAGCCTGTCTACGTTGGTTGTAATAGTATACTCTGAGCTCGTCGTAGGCCTGGAAGCCCAGAGCCTTGAGTTTGTGACCATACTTATCGCGGTAAATGGTCTCTGCGCGCTGTCCAGCTTCTTGCCACATGCCCTGGTCTTCGAAGAATTTTGCAAGAATAGCGAGGTCATCGTAGCTTTTCGCTGGCCATTTCTTTAAAATGGGAATAACTTCTGCCGCCTTTTCCGTCCGCCCTTCATTCTTGAAGCAAGTGTGCAAGCCAATGTAGCTCATGAGATTGAACTCTCTAGAGTCATTGCTGAACAATGGCTCATAGAAACGTAGCGCATCCTTGTCGTGACCAGTAGCGTGTAAGGCATCGCCGATAATTCGAAAGAGATCTTCATAGTCCCACATAAGAGCATCTGGACCTTGATCGTCTGGTTCCAACATTTCCAGATGATGCTAATACAATCAGCAGATGTAAGAATCCATCAGCCACTACTGTACTTACCATAGCTTCCTTGAAGTCATCTTTACTTCTACGTAGCCGGAACAACCCAAGTTTGACCCTGATCTCTAGTGGAAGAGTTGAGCCATACTTGGCATCTTGGGACTTCCGCACAAACTGTGGAACAGCGACACGTCTTGGCTCATCTTCAATATCAAACTCGCGGTCGTCGTCAATTTCATCCCAAAACGTCTCGGCATGTCTGCCTTGTTTCCATCGCGAAAGTGATTTCAACTTCGTAACTCCCGTAGCGTAACTACCTGCTCGGTCCAACAGATCAAGATAGATATTGATCAACTCCCAGTCGAGATCATTCGTGACTGGGTCCCGGCCGGGTTGCGTGAACGCATCAATAGCCTCCTCAAAGCTGTCAGTAAGTTTGTGGAGATGTATTTTGGTCTGCCTTGGCGATGCAGTGCCCATCATTGCCATGATCTTCAGCACACTGGTGTCCGGATCTTCTCCCTGCTCTTTACGTGTCTTGAGCATCTTGAGGCCCAGCATCACGCACTTTGAAGAACGTCCTAGTTGTGCCTCAATTTCGAGCTTGTGGCTACGAGCCTCATAGTCGTTGTTGAGCAGGATGATCTCATTCAAGCATGGAAGTATAGCAGCTGACTTGTTCTCATCAGTGAAACGTGGGTGTTGCTCCGGGTCTAACTGTTGGATGCGCTCGATGATAAACTGCCAAAGACCAGGGTCACGCTTTGTTGGCGCGCCAGCTAACAGTACAGCTATGGAATCCTCTTCACGGCCCATTTCAGTGTAAATCTCAGAGGCGATGTTGTAGGCATCAAAAATCTCGGGGTTGAGTTGGATAGCCTGCTGAGCAAACGAAAGGGCTGCCTCATAGTCCTTCTCGATGAATTTGGCGTTGGCCTGTTGCTGCAAGGCTTTCCATTCTGCGCCCGGGTCGGCTACAGCACGGGGACCTCGAGGACCTTTCTCTCTTCCGGGTTTCCCTCGCCTTCTACCCCGTGTAGAACGAGCACCACTATTACCACCCCGCCCTCTGGTTGAAGGGCGGCCTCTTTTGCCCCCACGCCCTCCTCGAGTACTCGAAGTGGGTATGATACCACCCATGGCGGAGCTTTTGGCGGACTTTCTGCTACTACCTTTCCCTCTCTTGTACCTGGCACGCCCTTCCATGTCCTCGAATTCAACACCCAGCTCCATGTCCTCGGGATCACCTTCATCTTGCTGTGCATCTTCGGACGAGTAGTCTGCGTCAACTTCAGAATCGTCTTTCTGAGTTTGCAGTAGCCGTTCTCGCTCTTCCTCTTCTTCAATCATACGTTCATACTCGTCATCTTCGTCGTCGTCATCTTCTTCTTCCTCTTCTTCTGTGCTCTCAAACCCGCGATCATAAATCGAAGAGTGAAATTCACTAGCTTCGGTATACTCATCTTCATCCTCTTGTTCAGGGTTCGCTGGGATGAACCCTTCAAAGACCGCCGGTCCACTAGTAGTGTAAGCCCTATTAAATGGATCTTGAAAATTTCCACTGGTAAAAGGTGGCAAAGACTCGTCTTCTTCTAAATCTTCTACGGCGTCTAGTGGAATTAAAGGTATGTACGGATTTCGGGTCGGCGGTTGATGGTGGAATTGAGAAGGCTGAAAGTCAGGTTGGTGGTACACTGAGTGGGAAGGAAACGGCAGCCCATTTTGTGGGAACTGAACAGGATATTGCTGTCTGCCATGCTGCGCAGCTGGCTGCATCAAGTTGGAGGTATCATCTTCGAAGGTACCCGGAACCGGTGGGAAGCCTCCATGGTCCTCATGATGCTCAGGGTTCCATTGCCTGAAGTACTCATGATCCGGGTTCATTGTGGGCTCTAATACTGCGCGCTTGCATTAGTTGACAACTGTTAGTGGTAGATCAATGCAGCATCTGATACCGAGAGGCTGGTGGTGAGGAAAGCTTTGTGAAGCAGGGATTGTTTTCGTTCTAAGAGGCTAGCGTCCGTGCTTTGCGCTACGTACTAGGACATATCGTGCAGCCAGGTCGCGTGCCAGCTTACCTCCAGAGCAGCATACCGGTTTCTCTAATCACATTGCTGGTCAGTATTGAGGTTTCAGTGTCTGAGGAAACACCGGAGGATCTGGCAGGATAACTCGACGCATACCCTGAACCCATGCTACTTACCGCCAATTCAAACTATGTTGATTGGTAGTATTTTGGCGCCATCCATGGAGATGGCACCAAGAGAACATCGATGCCGATTTACCGACAATGGTCTAGCCTTTTCACTTATTCTTTTGGGTCCAATAGAAGAGCCCAATATGCGCTACATCTAGGCCCTCGGCAATGCTACTAGGAAGTATAAGTGGAGAGGGGTTATATCGTTTGGTTTCAGGGCCATAGCAGCTTCGCCGCACACAAAACGCGCCACAACTCGTCTGGAAATATAGATAACCATCTTCTCAGTACAACTGTTTGTTTCAGAACACCATACCTCAGCCATGTTTAACAGCTTTATCATATGCAGCTTCGCCTACGCGTCTCTCGCCTTCGCTGCCAGTATACCACAGCATAAAGTACAGCAGCCCCTTCTCCCCGATCATCAAGCAGGTGGATTGAAGCCGAACAATATCCACGTCATGTTGGCATTTATTGAGAGCGGAGGAAATATGCAAAAGCTGGCGGAAATCCCACTAAACACACGGATCGTCGCTGGTACGTTACTTTGACGTTGGAGCTGGAGCTTCCAACCATATGCTCATCTCAGATAAGCTCCCTGCCTATCTGTAGACTGTAGCAGCAGTAAATCCTCCCCAGGAGCCACTGACACTGCGGTTAGGCCTTAACATACCAAATCGTCTAAGTGCTATCAAAATTGCTATGGCAGTCACAGTCGAAGACCGTTCGATATCACTAGAACGCCTGGACAAGATCATGTGCAGAATCACGCCAAAGACGGATGCCAAAGAGAAAGAGGCAATGAAAGGCGAAGGGAAGCCAGATGAGCTGCCGTGGTTCATGTTGAGGGACGGCACGGTCGAACTCGAAGATAGTTCGTCGCAATGGTTTCTTGGAGGCAGAGCGATACAAAGCTTCGAGTGCCGTTAACGCACCACAGTGATGATGACTGAGCAGACTGTTTGACGTCCGATCCAAATGCTAATGTATAATGCTCTATGCTCTCTCTCTGGGTATATTAAAACGATGCTTCGATGCCAATCGATATGTCCAAGTCAGGCGAACCCAAACGCCTATTATGCAAAGGATGGAGAGTGATCAGACGTTATTGTCCCCTTCATTCATGCCAACCATTTCGTATTCCCCCGCGCCGTCCCTCCCTCTACCCCTGCCCCTGCCCCTAGACTCGCCGCCCTCTTCTTCGGCCGCCGGTTGCGGTTGCGGTTGTGGTCGCGCGGGCGTCTTGCTTCCAAAGTTGATGGGTCTCAGTTCCCGCCACTGGCATGCCCATACACCCAAGGAAGTCATGAGGGTCGCGCTGCATATCTGTAATGCCCACCAGAAGAGGTTCGCGGGTATAGCGTGCGTGTATAAGGAGGTGACGACCAAGTGTATAAAGTGCACAGTAAAGGCAAAGTCAAGGACGAGCTTGGAGCGGGCGATGAGGAGCAGTATGAAAATGGCACTGTGGCGTGTCAGATGATTGCACAACTCCACGAGGCGCGTAGGTGAGGGCTTACCAGGCGAGGCTATTCAACATCCAGACCAGGCCCAATGTCCATCCAACCGTGGTATCTCCGCTCAGGCTCTGCCAGTTGAAGAGAAGATCCAGGCTGACCTCCTTGCCCGCTACCAGAGCAGTGAAGAGAATAAGGATCCCGGCGCATGCATAGTACGCGAGTTGCAGGAGGACAATCTGGGAGAGGATGCGGATTGGCGAGAGATCCGCGAGTGCACCGGGTCGAGGGGGGCGGCGTCGGCGTGGCATGAATCCGCTGGCGATACGCTATGGCATGGGCATATGGAGTGGAGAGTCCCAAGGTCACGTTAGTTGGTCCTGTATTACTAGTTGACAAAGTTGCCTGTTCGCCGATGGTTCGCTGGAAGGGTTCGGCGAAACGTGGAGCGTCAGCGCCGATGTCATACTACTTAGCGTGGGAACTTTTGCCAAGCACCAATTCGACATTCTGCTCTGCATTAATACAGACAGCCCTGCCCACCAGCTCTACCAAAGAGCCTTGCGCTATACACTCTACGAAAGTACGCAATCCTAGGACCTAATCCATGTGGAATATTCATCCCGCTCCGGTCTGACACGTGCGCCAGCTTCAACCTCTTACCTCCGCATCCATCTCCGACTCCGCAGCGCCCTTCTCCGCAACTTGACATTCCACAACCATGGGCTGGTTCGGCTCAAGTTCAAGGGACGACTCCGGCGTCAAGAAGACAGAAGGCGGCGCATTCGAGTCGCCCTCACGTTCAAATCGCAAACAATGCTACGCAGCACGCGACGCCTTTTTCGAATGCCTCGACAAGAACAACGTTCTGGATAGCATAAATACAAAGTCTGGAAGGGACAAGGCTGCAAGCTTCTGTGGACAGCTAGACAAAGAATTCGAGAAGAACTGCGCACATAGCTGGGTGAGTTGATACTTAGTCTAGTGTTGGGTGACTACATCACATGTCTAGGACGACAGGGATGGATGGGGGGAGAGGAATGCTAACAGATACCAGGTCGAATACTTCAAGAAGCAACGAGTGGTCAACTACCAACGCGAGCAAACCATCAAAAAGATTGAAATGCAAGGCGGCGAGATTACAGCACCACAGTTACCTCTACCAAGTCAGAACAGGTAGTTCGCGGCGCTGCTAGAAGATTTGCTCATCTGCCCTGAGCAATAGTCTTGTTTCTTCTTTGACGCCGCTCATGACCCTGTACAATATGTACGATATGTAGTATTAGCAGTAGTATAAGTAAATATACACGATTCTCTAGCCTGCTTGTAGATGAGCAGGGTCGGCATGGCATGCACCACAGAAACAAGAGCCAGCTTGACTCAAAATGGTATGTAACTCCAAACCTTGCCATAATATACATCAAGGTTGCATATAGTGAAAGGGCCAACAAGGTCGGCACTTCTTCACCCTCCAGCGTGCGTCACATGCAAAGTGCTCCTCCCCCATCACAATCTCCACGCCTCTTTAATCAAGAGGCCCATGCACATGTACTTGCAGTCGGTAAATATGCATGCCCCAATGCAACAGAACAAAGCCCGAACTATTCACCTGCGAACTTGTTTCTCACTTATAAAGATTAGTCAAAACAAGTCCGAATAGATACGGACATGGATGCTGAGGCCGACTAGATGCGCACTTGAAACCCTATTGCCTCCATACATGTCAAGCGCCAACATGGCACAATGTCGTCACACGGCCCCGAAACCATGCAGGCGCATCTCCGAGAGAAATTGCAGCCGGCAAACTATACGTACCCCCAACGAAATGAAACATGATCACCGAGTTGGGCAAGCAAGGTTTTGCTAGTACTAGCAGGTAGAAATAAATTGCTACCGGACACACGTGCACCAAACCATTCAGCCCCATGACCAACACTCATCTACGTACTACTATGTAGAAATACCCAACCAAAATTAACCAAGCGTGCACATTCCCCTCTAGCTCCCCTGCACTCCAGACGCACGACCCTCCAGGTACATTATTCATCAAGGAGCAACCATACCGAGTGATCCCCCCGTCCGAATCTCATCAGCATCTACTTACATCCCGTGTCTTGGCACTCCACTTGTCCCGTGCGTATTCTGCCTCGGTCGCAAATACCGAACAAAGAGAAAGTAAAGGAAATGGTAAGGATAAAGGTTAAGTGTACCCGTTTGGGAGAAGAGCTAGCGCAATACCTACATATACATGTAAACAAGTACCCTTATTGCTTCCGGGCAAAAAAAAAAGCAGGTCGTGACTCGTCTTGGCAGATACATATGTAGAAGTCGTTGCTCAGAGAAATCCCATTTGGGGGTGAAGGATTGGGCAAGCGAAAGCACAGAAACAGACAGACAGACAGACAGAGAGCGTTGAGCCAGGGTCAAAAAATACCCCCCCCCCCAAAAAAAAATCAAGAAACGTCGCATGTAAGACGGAGTATGCGCCGTTGCAGCGAGGCGAACAGGGGGAACAAAAGTAAAACAGTAAGCTAAAAAGGGTTCCTGCAAACAGAGTTTAAGTTACGCACGTAAGGGCCATTCGAAACGGCCGAACGAACAAGGGGAAGGAAGGGGAGCAGGAAGGTCTGTGTACCATAACCTAGATATCCGTAAACGTCTTTTTTTTTGGGGGGGGCGGAACGAAAGGGAAGCAAGGATGGAAGAGGGACGGACGGACGGGGAAAAGGATTACCGGTCAGCACAAGCACAAGCGCAAGCACATACACACCACATATACACGAAAAAATGACCCGAGGCTGGGGTGTAAGGGTTATCAAACAAGGACGACGAATCGGGCAAATTTTCTGAAGAAGTCTAAGAAAAGGGAAGAAAAAAAAGAGGAACCTGCAATCGGGGGAGGGAGGGAAGGAAGGAAGGGGGGGTGGGACCGTTGGTTGCCAGATTGGAACCACTTTATCGCACACATGGATTCCCTTTTTCCCTTTTTCCCTTTTCCCCTCCTTCCTTCCCGCCCTTGTCACTTTTTCCCCGCGACTTGACTGACGACCCGCTTCTCTAACGTCGCTTCGCGCGTGAACAAGGCGAAAAGCAAATCTTCACAAAAACGAACAAAGCAAAAGCAAAAGAGGTCACAAAATTAAAAGAAATAGATTGTGCGTGACTACAAAATGTGCTCTCACAAACACACAAGTACACATAGTGCAAGCAAAGCAAAGTAAAGCAAAAACAAAAAGACCACCTGCCATCCATAGTTTACCTAATGCATCTGTATATTAAATACTTGATTGGCTACCACTATACTTTCCAAACCCACCCGCCCCCTCCCTCCTCCCCAAGATAAGGCGTTGGCAGCATTTTAGCCGCAGCATCGAGCAGCAAGGCCCCAAATCGCGCCACCTGGTCAGAGTTTGTCGGGTTCGGCGAGATCTGAGCTTTATTTGTCTCGGTTATCTCTCTCCTGTGTGCAGAACCGAAGACGTGTGCCGCTGACCCCACCTTTGCCCACCTGTCACACACCCACACATCTCATGACTTCATGACCGAGTCAAGTCCATTTTGGCCCTTTCCCTTCTTTTTCCCGCCCTTTTTCTTACCCCTCTATTGGCTCTCTGTCTCCTACGCCCGCGCGGAGGCTATTCCGCCCTTTTTGTGGTTGCCAACATGAACGGTATGTGTGCATGCATAGTATGTGAGTAGTATATGCATACTAAGTATGTGTGTGCGTAATGCAACCTCGTACTACCTTTGATTGCGGAATTCCCGTGTGTCCTTGCATCTGAAACGTGGCACACGCGACTCTTGATTTCTCTGCTGCGCCTCATTCCTGATGATCTTTTTTTTGGGGGGGGGGGGAAGTGGTAGTCAAATCTTGTCCCCCATTCACCACTTTGTTGGCCAAATGGTGGCAGGATCAAACTCGCGCCTAAAAATGTCCACGTCAGACATGCAGCCCTTGCTTGGTGATCCGACCATGCTACTGTCAATGGCAAAGACTACATCCTGGAATGCGCCATGGAACTCTTCTTCCTCAAAGAGTAATTGTCTCCACATGCACGCTACCTCCTGCGCCGGGTTGCGGAAGATAGGTCCGAGACCAAACGCGCCCAAAACCAAGTTTCGGTGGCCGCAGTAGGATGCGATGCGCAGCACTGCTCGCATCTTTTCTCGCATCAACTCTCTTTCTTGTGCAAATGAGTACTTGCAACCGCTCTCGTCAAGTTTTGGGCGCCGAACTGGAGCGACTGATATCACGGGAAGTGAGGCCATGTCTGCAAAAGGTGCATAGTCTTGCTCCGGACCGGCTCTGAAAACGTCTGTGGCTTGTTAGTAGGGAGTCTCGTGCCGAGGCAGACTTTTGGCTAGCACCCCAACATACACACTTCGGGAGAGTAGATGCCACCTCTTTGTGGGATGGGGTAGAAATTCTCTTCGACGCCTAATTGTGCGTTCCAGGGCATGGTGAGGGCGTGGACCAAGTTGCTTCTCCGCGCAAAGCATTCTTCTGGGGCCATGAGGCCAGATTCCCAGTCGCCACCTGCGCGCTTTTCGTTGGCTACATTGACCACAGGAATTCTTTTGCAGTTTGGGTCGGCATTGAGAGCACTCTGGTACCAGCCCAGGGCATAGTTGACGGGGTCGCCCTCCATGACTGCGACTCTGGTGCGTTGTGATGAGCGCTTGTCGACATTGACTCGTATTTGTGCGGAATCTGGGTAGAGATATGACGTCTTGGAGTCTCGAATGTAGTGTTTCCAAATGTGAGGCATCCATACTCGCTTTGCTTCGGCTGCTATTTCAGAGGGTTTTGGTCTTGATTGTGGCATGACGATGGTGACGTAGGTGGAGGGTTGGCTGTTTTGTGGGCTGAAGCTGGCAGATCAGCAAGGGAAGGTAAGTCGAAGGACGAGTCTGGAGAAACAATGGCACAGAGGGGGGAGGGCGAGCGTAGTGATTGTACAGCCGCACGAGACTTGAGTAAAGCAGTGCGGGGAAGGGAGAGGGAGAGGGAGTGAGGGCCTGTGACCAGACGGCGCCAGGCCGGCCAAGGGACAGTATATCAGTCAAAGGCGGGTTTTGCAACGGGCGTGTAATAAGGCAAGCTAGATCGTAGCCCCAGATCGAGTCGGCGACTAGACTGGGGCAGCAGAAATGCACCAGCTACAGAAGCGGCAGTCGTCTGCGTGAATCTGGCAGACCCCTGTGGGATTGGGCGGGCGAGGGGTGGCATTCTCGCAGCAGACACGGGGACAGTGGTTGGAGGCATGGAGACATGATGCATGTACTAGGTGGCCGGTAGCAGCCGTGCCGT